TCAAGTAACCCACACCATAGCCAGGAGAACTCCACTAAGGGGTAGAGAGCTGCTTAAACTGTTAACTGTCATTATCTCAAAACAAACCATTCCAGGATCGCAGTATGGAACCCAGGTCCTATTTCCACATGTTTCTGTACCAACTCAGCAATTATCACACATACCAATTACCCTAAATTTAGCACAAGAGGTATTGTGAGGCACTCATTCATGAATACCCTAACCAAGCCATTTCATCTTTACAAGAAGGCTACATGCAGATTGTCAGAGGTTGAATAGTATGCAAGTTTGCTTCATAGTTAAGAATGTAGGTCAGGTGACTTGCGATTCCCCATACAACCCTGTAGCTAATGCCGATACCCTCGACCACAGATAGATGTCAGTTAAGCTATGGGGTTTACCTGTACATTCCTTGAGAAGTGGAAACCTAACTATGTTGTATTGACAAGAAATTTTGAGGTCAAGAACTCTCTGAACTTTAAAGATCTTTCTATAAATCACACACAAGAAGAAAAGACTAAAAGAACCAGTGAACTAGGTTTTAATGATGATTTAATGGCATAAATTAGTATGTGAGTGAGTGAGTACTGTTTTCACGATGCTTTTAGCAATATTCCAGCAATATCACGTGGGGGGACACCAGAAATGGGCTTCACACATTGTACCCATGTCTTCGGCGTGACGAGAGAATGCTTTAACCACTAGACTACCCCACTGCCCCAATTAGTACCGGTATGTGTTTTTTCAATGAATGAAAGAAGAAATCATCAGTAATTTGTTTTGAGTAGTATAAACTCAAGCCCAAACATTGTAATAAGCTGTTCTGCCAATGCCAATGTTTATATCATGAATGGTATAATTACTTTTATCTTTGAAGACCATATTTCATCTTTTAACATCATTGCTATACTTAATGACCATAACTTATTTATACATATTCTGATGAACTGCTAATAAATTTCTTAATTCACTCTTACAGATCCAGCGATAGCAACAACATATCCATATACAACATCAGCAATAATGGTTTATCACATTTTGTGGGATATAAACTCTTATAAATGCTTCATAAGATGACATCACAGTGAAGATAAGATCACATTGTTGCTAGTGTAATGCATAACCTGAACAAGAAAATCTTTATAATATACTGAACTGAAAAAGTTAGGGATCATGAGCATGAGTATATACCACTAACATTATTTCTAGAAATATGCTCAGATTTTACTACAATACAACCCCCAAATATATTCATGATCCCAAACCCTTTTCAACAGTATATTGTCACATCAAAATGTCTGGTATGCATACATTTAATGATAAACCCAAAAGCTACTGCTGAACATGCTGGACAAAAACACTGGATTTCGTTTGGATTTAACTGTATTCCAGAAGTCACCGGAAATGAGTGAGTGAGTGAGTTTAGTTTTACATCACTTTTAACAATATTCCAGCAATATGACTGCGGGGGACACCAGAAAGGGGCTTCACACTTTGTACCATGTGGGGTATCGAACCTGGATCTTCAATGTGACAAGCAAATGCTGTTAACCACTAGGCTAAACCACCTCCCCCACTGGATTTGGCCTTATGAGTGAATGTCATGGCTAATGCTTTCAGTCATGTTTACCTCGACCTGACTCAATTATTTACAGGCTGCTCTCATAACGCTGGAATATACTGCAGCATTCAACAGACACCCTCTCACTCACTCACTCACTCACTCACTGCACAGTGTGACTTTCAATCTGTCAACCCCAGGTAGCAACAATGTCATGTCAAGTTCACCTACAATTACCTTATTCCCTGCAATTTACACACGACAGGTGTGTGTGTTATTAAGTGTTAATTTGTCAAGCCAATGTCTACAAAAACCCATTGACATAAGTCCTACACATCCACGTGTAGATAGGCAGGGTTTACCTTGCTCTACAGAACTAGGGGTCCAGGACCCCCAATTACTAACATCAAGGGTCAAACAGAATATATGAGGGTCCCATAAAGTGTAGTTTACTGTACGATATGATAATGACATTTATAATTGTAAATTATAAAGTTTCAAAGTGTTTTGTTACACCTCCATCATACTCTAAAATGTTGTGGTCCTCATACAGCAGTTGACATCCATATATTCCTGCACACCCCTTTATGTGTTTCACTTCTAAATGACTTTCAATGATTGTATATAATTTAATCAAATTGCATTGATTAAAAAGCATCAAAAGGATATTAATAAGTCTACATTTTGTTAAATTAGTGTCAAATGTCTCCTTCTCATTTTGAGTTTCACTTCTCCAAACAAACCAGTTTGTTGACTGTGACTAAACAGGGGTCAGGGTCAACTACACCCACACCTACCAACACCACTAGACCTCACCAACACCACTAGACCTCACCAACGACCCTAGACCTCACCGAGACCCCACCCACCAACACCCCACCTACCGGGACCCCACCCACCGAGACCCATCAGTGATGAGAAGTATGTGTAATTTATACACTGATAATGACATTTATAACAGGAACTTTACACTTCTGGTACAAATTTGATACGAAGAATATTATTGTGTGTGCGTCTGAATGCAGTATATTTTATTCTGCTTCCATTCTAAAAATTTGTACACATTGAATGCATGTTTCTGTGTCATGCAAAACCCTGGTCTTGTCAAGACATTCATGTCGTCAAAACCTCCCCTGAAGTTATCGCCTCACCACCTGGCGAAACTTGACAGACTGATGCTCCTTGTGCAGTCCAATTACTGCCTTACATGATAAAAGGTCCTGTCAATACAGTCATTTATCAGACCTGTAAGGCTAACATGGTTGGGTGTGATAATTTATGAATGTTGACATGAGGAGCTGTGTCACATCTCACAGAAATATGAGTGAGTGAGTGAGTTTAGTTTTATGCCGCTTTTAGCAACATTATGACGGGGAACACCAGAAATGGGCTTCACACATTGTACCCATGTGGGGAATCGAACCCGGGTCTTCGGTGTGATGAGCGGATGCTTTAACCACTAGGCTACCCCACTGCCTCCTCAGAAATATACCGGTAACTCGTCCCAATGACAGTTGACAGGCAACTGCAACTCATTGGTTCTAAATATATTGCTTGTTTTGCACACACCCTGTCTCCACTTTCTGCAGACAATCAAAATAAGGAACCTCTGATTCCTACTCTGCAAAAGCTGGTAACTGTGTTGTGGGACAAGCACAAGTTTGAAAACTGGTCCAAATAATAACATATGTTATATTTGGGATTACACTTTCTCAGTAAAGTACAGATTCTAGTACTTTTTCAGTTGAGTCCCATCCGGGATTCGAACCCACACCCTCACAGTGTGGCATTGTGTATTTCATGGTCCAAATAATACTCACATGCATTTTGCAAGTGAATCATCATATTTATTGAATTTTTAAAATATACACAACAAATACCCCTTGATATTTTAGATTTTGTTTTCAGTTTAACCTGAATCACTTCAGTTTTACATAAGGGTCAACTGGAAATGTTAGCAAGAGTGTGTCAAAGTCTACATCTTAAATTGAAGGATGACTGCCAGTCAGTCTATCAGTTACCTTACACCAAGACAATGTAACAAGTTATGTATGGCATTAAATGCAATTTCTGGACCTAGACTGTAAACTTGATAGAGATACAGTTTGTTAGAAAATTGTAAGAGAATACAGAAGGCCACATTTCAAATATGAAATATTTGTAACTATTTGAAAATATTTCAAGTTGGCCAGGAAGGCACCTACATGTATATCCAGATAAAATTTCACAAGAAATATTTCATATTAGAGAATTAGGATACTTCACCCAGAAACATGCATATCAATGTGTATATAAAGACCATATAACATCATGAAAGATCTGCTTGATCAGCAATAAAATCTCTCATTTTGTGACATCAAGACTCTCTGAGCAGGATTTATTTTCAGTTGTCAAACATGGTAACAGGTCAATGGATGATTTTTAGCAAACATCTCTCTCAAGGATATAAGTCTTTCTACACTCATGAAATATATAAACGACAACCATATGTCATATATTACAAGCTTGTAAGAACTAACACACCCCTTAAACATGTTAAAGGTCTATATGATCGGACAGTCCTTCATCATGTTCATGGAGACAATTGGTGATCTCAGCTAGTTTGAATGAGGTCAATGAAACACTTTACTCAAGAACAAGCTCTAATATAGTTCTAATCATCAATACTTAACCTAATTAGAGTCTGTGACAATGTCTTAATTACACCAAAGCCCTTGATTACAATGTCTGACTATCTACACCATCCACTCTTCCACATAAATGTTTACTGTGACCCAGCATTCCTTATCTATTCATATAACATTCCCTTGATGACTGAAGCATGATTTTATACAGCTAAATAAATCCAAACCTCATTCATGCAACAATAATGTTTGTGAGAAAAAACTCTTAATATGTATAGGTGCAGTTTCATATTCTTTCAAAAGTGTAATTAGTTTAATAAATTCCTTATCGTATTCATTGCATAATGCTATCGTGACGCACAAAAACGTCGATGTATGGAGTTTTAGGTTAACATATTTGGTGGTATATAGGAATAGTTGTTTCGTTGGTTTGGTCACAGTGGATGCACCCCTGCAGAACGCAATCCGACCTAACCGATTGCAAGCTGACACTCTCTTGCAAAATTCCATGAAGTTAAAACACCATGGGAGGAAGATGTAACAGGTTTTTTTCGCAGTCCTCACAGTTTTTACGCTAATTCAATTTAGTGACACTGATGGTTGAGTACTTGCATTGGACGCCGGGACGACATTCGCGTTCCGAACCAGTATACCTGGACTATTACGGTAACATCTCACCTGGATTCTTTGATGGACCGCCATGTTTAGACAGCCAAGCGAACAGACACGTAAAAGAAGGCAGACGCTTAAATTGAGAGTGTCAGTGCAAAAATAATTCACGTAGAGGAAACACAAGAAAAACGAGTTAGAATTACCTGATATTCCGAGCTTGTCGACGACACAGTTCTACTAGGTTGCTGACAGGCATGCACAGTTATCGTACCTGATGATATGTTGAACCGGTATGCGCTAAAAATAGCTCAAGCCGCAGCACTCATCTGTTATCAATGCGCGATCGATTGTAGTTCATTCCGATCGTCTGCTCGTCTCCTTCAACATGAAAATGTCCCATCTGAGTGACACGGTGTCAAAGGCGCGTAATAATACATGTACAGTTATATATCTCCATGTAGGTATATATCTACATGTTGGTTACAGTAGTTAAAGTACTAACCTCTACAATCCTTATGATTTAAAAAGTGGTACAAATATAACTCAAGCGAAATTTGTGTTCGTTTTTATTTCAACATTTCTCTTTCATTTCAAAGATGACGACGACTATATTTGGACTAGTTGGAGTCTGGGTCTGGGATAGCATTATGTTGAAAAGTCCGCACATAGACGTGTTTACCTTTGAATATTTCAACAAAAGCAGCAACATACACTGTGTATACCTTGGTGTGGGTGACGCCTATATTGGGGCGTGCAAACATAATATAAGTAGTCAAACAAACGTGTATTGATGCAGTTTCATATTGCATAGGAAAAATTGTTACCGAGCCTTGAGATAGTTTTAGAAGAGCCCACCGAAATATGCACTCTTGTAGGATAAGGCATCACGTATGATATGGTGTTCCTGAAGAAAAACGTTGAAATATTACACACGTATTGTCAGTTGTACACCTCACGGAACAGGGAATGTGTCTATTAGGCGTGAATATACCATTCACATTGGTCAAATGAGAATTGTATTTGGAATTACACTTTCTCAGTAAAGTACAAATTCCAGTGGCGGATTCAGGACTTTGGAGAAGAGGTGGGGGGTTTCACATAAATCATGAAGTCCAAAGGTTAGGGGAAAAATTATTTCGGGGGAAGGTTCACAACCCGCCTCTGGATCCGCCCTTGAATTCTAGTACTTTATTTTGGGGACGGGTGGGGTGTTGGGGATCAACCCCATCCGAGATTCGAACCCACACTCCCAGTTCATGAAAAGTTGGAATTATTAGACAAGTTTTTGATTTGTGGTATGTATGGAATGTATTGGGAGAACTTAAGTTTGTACACTAGTTCACCGAATTAGATGTTGGGATAAGGTGTTTTGATATGGATAATGATATGCTGTGATACATTGCAGAACAAACTTATTCATTGGTCGACAAGGAAATCTGAAACAAGACCGCCTCCGTGGTGTAGTGGTGATAACGTCCGCCCGGAAGGTCGCGGGTTCGATCCCCGACCGCATCATACCAAAAAATACGTTAAAATATGGTACTTGCTGGTCCCTGCCTGGCGCTCGGCATTTATGGTTACAACAAGGACTGGTCGGCTCGGAGTCAGTGTAATGTGTCTGAGTGGGGTATTCGTGCTTAACTGCGGCATGGTATCTCAGTGAGCCAGTACTATAAAACCAGCTTTTATAAGTCTGGGCTAGTACAAGCACCCACAAATACACACGCATGCACGTCGTCATATGAGCGAAATATTCTTAAGTGCGACGTAAAACCCAATAGTTATTCTGTAAGTTTATACACATAAATAAAACATTATAGTATATATGGACTATATACATTTACGTAGAGCTTGTGAACCGTGAAGATCCGGATAAGAATCGATCTTCAGTAACCTATGCCTGACTAACCTGAACGGGAGGCCAGACTCGCTGAGTTCATCGTATGAAGTTAACCACTGGATTCTCTGGTCCAGACTCGATCGTTTACAGACCGTCGTTATATAATTGCTGATTGCTGCATTTAATAACAAACAAAATAATGTAGAGCTTGTAAGTATATCTGATGGTTGGTTGGTTGTTTAACGCCGCACTCAGCAAAATTCCATCTATATGTGGCAGAAGCATATGTGGCGTTCTAAAAGTGGGGTTTTCAGTACTTTTCTACTTCGACTTTAGCCTATGTCTTGGGGCACCACATTTTTCAAGGTCTAGGGGAAAGTTATTAGATTGTATGTTCTGTGTTCTGTCACCTCCCTTGCCACCTCACCCTCCAACACACACACACACGCACGCACGCACGCACGCTCTTTATTCATAAGGCATGTGATAATATTACCCATTATTGAGTGAGTTAGTTTTATTATTACGCCGCTTTTAGCAATATTCCAGCAATATCACGGCGAGGGGACACCAGAAATGGGCTTCACACATTGTACCCATGTGGGGAATCGAACCTGGGTCTCCGGTGTGACGAGCGAACGCTTTAACCACTAGGCTACCCCATTGCCCCGCCCATTATTGGCATCTCCCACGTGTATTACTGGAATATTGCCAAAAGGGACGCCAAATCATACTCACTCACTGACTTTCACTTCTTCTACCATCTATATGCTCAACCGCACTTACGCACGCAACCACACACACACACGCACAAACTCGGAGCACGAGTTGTGTGTACAGGTGCCTGGTGATCGACCTGGCAACGATGTCTCGACCAACACATGGAGGTGTCATTACTAGCATGTGTTTAGTAAACATAACGGGGACTGTAGCATTCAGTCTGTATATCGATTGATGGCAATAACGCTCATTGTCCCATTGCCTGCATGTGTCGTCCAGGTCTGTATAGGCCACTCGTATAGTAGACATGTCATCAGCAGCTTGATTACAGGTATACAGGTAATAATTACAGGTATATATGTCATGTTTACAGGTGGAAATAATCAAATTTGTGCTTTTTGTAATACGTGAACTAGGTTTCGTATTTTTCTTGAGGAAATATAGTTAGTATAACATGAACCTAGTTTCTCATTATTGTTCGCAGGTGGAGCAGACTGGTTAGCTGGGTATGCTGCGCTGTCTCCTCACTCAGTGTTGCGCGCAGCAGTGAAGCGCCAGCGCAAAATACCAAGGGAACCAGTCAAGCGGTTGGGTAGCCCAGTGGGTAAAGCTAGTCACCGGAGTCCACGGTGCGATTCTCACATTGGTACAATGTGTGACGTCTTTTATTGTTTTCCGCGCCGTGCTATTACTTGAATATTGCCAAAAGCGGCGTAAAAGGACACTAACTAATTTACATTCAGTTCAATTCATGATCTTCTGGGATATACATCGATCCGTATTCTTGCGACACTGATTCTGATTTTTACAAAGCTGTTCAGTCACAGCATTAAACAACTTTCAAATACAAAACAGATTTATCACTGTTTATGTTCTGGTGTTTTGTCAAGACACGTATGATTGCAACAATGCTATTCTATCAGTTTATGTTTCCATGGCAATGATCACACGGGTCATCACATTAGCCCCCTGTTTATATGTTTCCATGGCAATGCACACACGGTTCATCCCATTAGCACCTGTTTATATGTTTCCATGGCAATGCTCACACGGGTCATCCCATTAGCACCTGTTTATATGGTTCTATGGCAATGCTCACACGGTTCATCCCATTAGCACCTGTTTATATGTTTCCATGGCAATGCTCACACGGGTCATCACAGTAGCCCCCTGTTTATATGTTTCCATGGCAATGCTCACACCGGTTATCCCATTAGCACCTGTTTATATGGTTCTATGGCAATGCTCACACGGTTCATCCCATTAGCACCTGTTTATATGTTTCCATGGCAATGCTCACACGGGTCATCACAGTAGCCCCCTGTTTATATGTTTCTATGGCAATGCTCTCACAAGTAATAATATCAAATGAGCATCAAAGCTCTCCTCATCGCCATTGGTCAACCTGCAGAACATCGTACGTTTTTCGAGGTGACCCTGTTCGTCTCACCTGTGATTGCAGTTGTAATATAAGCTGCCCATGAGTCATGTGGATGATGTCTTGGTGACCTGCGGTTGAAGTCGCACTTGCCGCCAGTCATAAACCTTTATAATAACGTATACAGTAAATCAAACGTTCCTTGTAACAGGAAAAACGACAAAATGAAAGTGAAACATTGTTGCATAACTGTCATTTTTGTTTGATATCCATTTTGACAGCCGTCATTTCAGTTTTACAGGTCCCAATGACTCATAACCTTGAGTACTCCATCCATGTATAGATCTTTTGCTTCCAATGGTCTGTTTCGGTATGTGATCGAGGGGTACTCTAGACTGGCATTGGTGATTGGATATTATTGTAGTGTACACCAGTTAGCGGCATGAATGGCCGGGCTCTCTGTCTTCTCATATATCATGGCACAAAGCTGCTGCAAACTCACTCACTGACTCACCCCGTCAAACAGGAAATGGCAGCACAACTCTCACAGCAATCGCAACAACTACTACAACTACAACCTGAAATGAAACTTCTACTATTTTCACCATACCACCACCACCACTGCTGTTACTACTATACTACTACTACTACTACTACTACTACTACTACTACTACTACTACTACTACTGCTGCTGCTACTAGCTACTGCTGTTGTTGCTACTGTTGTTACTACTACTACTACTACCACTACTACTACTACTACTACCACTACTACTACTACTACTACTGCTACTGCCACTACCACTACTACTACTACTACTACTACCACTACTTACTGGGCTGCACTGCTACCACAACCACTGTTGTTGTTTGCTGTTGTTACTACTACTACTACTACTACTACTACCACTGCTGCCACTTCACCACTACTGCTGCTGCTACCACACAACTACTGTTGTTGTTGCTGCTGTTGTTACTACTACTACTGTTGTTGCTGCTACCACAACTACTGTTGTTACCACTGTTGTTACTACTACTACTACTACTACTACTACTTCTACTGCTACCACTACTACTGCTACTGCTACTACACTGCTACTGTTGTTGCAACTACTGCTGTTGTTGTTACTACTACTACTACTACTACTACTACTACTACCACTACTACTACTACCACTACTGCTGCTGCTACCACAACTACTGTTGTTGCTGATGCTGTCACAACTACTACTACTGCTGCTACTACTCCTACTGCTGCTGCTGCTACTACTACTACTACAACTACTACTACCACTACCACTACCACTACTGCTGCTGCTACCACAACTACTGTTGTTGTTGCTGCTGTTGTTACTACTACTACTACTACTACCA